GTACAGCTGGAGTCTGCATCCAACCTAAATACCTGTGTACCTGAGTCTAGAGGCAATGTGTGGAGCCCATGGAGGGCTGCTTTGTGCTCACAGGCAGATAGCGTGAGGAAAAAGCAGAGGGATGGGCACTGTGACAGGGGAAGGGTCCCATCCACTCCTTGACTGGCCTCAGCAAAGGTAGAGAGGATCCCATTATAAATTGCCTGCTGCTCAGTCTTCACCTGCCCGCCCCCCAAACAATGTTGTTCTTATAGAATTTCAATTTCTCCCTCTCCTTTATGGGTATTTTTAGGAAGTATCAGTCCGGAGGAAAAGTCTTAACTATGAAATGTTCTGATTCACCATTGGGATCTTATTGCACATGTGTCAGGATACCAGGTGTGACACTCCTTGGATTTAAAAATAGTTTTGCACTGTCTCTCTACCTTCTGTTACCTGAGAGGCTTTTCTGCACTCACTGACCTGCCCAGGCCTCCATCTTTGTCTGCGTCGACTGGTAAAGTAAAAATGAGCCGCTTCTGCTGGCGAGGATTCATGTAAGGAGATGAGAGCCGAGCGCATCTGTCTCAGCTGGAAGGCAGGGACAGGTTCCCACGCTATTGGTGGCGACAGCTGGTTACTTTACAATCACTTAGTTTTAAAAGCCATCCTCCTACCCTGTCAACCCCATACTCCACGCTTCTACCCTCAGAAAGTGCTTCATTCGTTCAACCAACAGTATTTACTGAGTGCCTTCTATGTGGTGGTTCTATTCCAGATCATAGGAATACGGTATTTTATGTTCAAACAGGTTTTTATTTATGTAGCTCATGCACATAAATAAACAGTAAACTCTCAACAGTCCTTCTGACTCATTTTCCTGAGAACTACGGGGATGCCCACCATCCTCAGCTTACAATTCAGTGTTAAAGAAAGAAAACACTGGCGGAGACTCAGTTAGAAAAGCACTTGCCACACAACTGAGCCTGCACATAAAAATCTCAGTGCTGGAGAAGCAAAGACGGGACGATCTCTGGGGCTGGCTGGCCAGTCTAGATGAATCAGTGAGGTTCAGGCTCAGTGAGAGACCCTGCCTCAAAAACCAAGGTAGGTGACTGAAGAAGACACCTGATGTCCACCTATGGTGTGTGCACGTGCTTGTGCGAAAGGACTCGTGCATGTGCAAAAGAACACACACACAAATGCACACTTGTATAACACGCACACAACCTGCACACGTGGTACACACACAGAAACATGGACATAGACACAAAAAGAAAGCATTGATAATGGAATGTAAATACATATATAACTAGCATACAAAATTCTCAAAAAAAAAAAGAAAAATTAAAAAAAGAAAAATTGAAGAACAAACAACACAGAACAAAATTTAACAGAAAACGGCAGTGCTGAAATGGAAATAAATAGGGTAAGATCAAAGGGTAACCGGAAGGTACTTACTTTGGAGGGGGCAGGAAAACTCTGAGGTGATGTGTGGGAACAAGACTTGAGGAATAAGAAGCAGCTAAGTTTGCCAAGAGCCATGGAAATCAGGTTCCCAGCTGCGGAAACTCAAGTCCCAGGGCTAGGTGTGAGACAGAAAGACCAGAGAGGCTATAAGTCAACTAGGAGGACAGAATGAATTATCCTGGAAAAGACAGATGGAGGCCAGATCATATAGGCCCTTAGAAGCCATGGTGAAGAGTTTGGACCTGGGCAATAAAAATCATAGAGTTTTCAACAGTGTTCCAATGTGTTCTCAGTTTTCCTTTTTTTTCTTCTTTTTTTAAACATGCAGATACAGTTCACAGACAGGGGACAATGTAGATGATATGTGTAGAGTATGATGTGTTCTGACAGCGGCACTGCCAGGCAGGTTTCCAAAATGGCTAAAGTTTTTATTGTTATTTTGAGTCAGGTTTTTATGTTGCTCAGGCTGACCTGAAACTTCTGAGCTCAAGTGATCCTGGCCTCCAAGTAACGAGTACAGCAGGTTCCTACTGCTGCCTCTGGCTACAGTATATTTTTAAAGTTCCACCGGCAGATGTGTAAGAATTCTCTCGCTAAGTATGTTGGCACATACCAGAGTTCAAGAAACTGGGATGAGAGTAAGATTTTGAGGCAAACCTGAGCTACAGAACAAGATTCTGCCTCAAAAAAACCAAAGCAATACAGAAAGCAAGCAAGCAAACAACCTGAAATTCTCACAAACATTGGCAATGAGAGAATTGGGGTGGAGGTGCTTTGTTTAATTTGTTGTTGTTTGTTTGTTTGTTTGTTTTTTAGGTGATCTAAATGGATACAAATGATGTCCCACTTGGCTTTGTTTCTTTGTTGCATAATGCTTATTGGTCATTTATGTATCTTCTTTTACTGTCCCTGTCCCAAAGTTTAGTATTTAAAGAAAATTGTGTGGGTGCACATACATCCACGGTGTGTGTGTGTCATCGTGTGCACACGTGCATGCCATGGTACACATGTGAAGGTCAGGAGACAGCTTTTGTGAGTCAGTTCTCACCTTCCAGCTTTACGTGGGTCCGGGGATCAGGTCTTTAAACTTATACAAATGCGTTTACCAGTTGAGCCCCTCACTGGCCCTTCTTGTTTGCAAAGATAGGGTCTTGCCGTGTCCCCTAGGGTGGGTTCAAGCTCCTCAGCTTAAATCATTCTCCCACTTCAGCTTTCTGAGTACCTAGAACTACAAGCATGCACCATCACACCCATTGGACCTTTAAAAATTGTACCTGTTTGACTTTATTATCAAGTGGGTGTTATTTATATAGAGAGGTTTTTATTTCGTCAGACATTGTGTGTTGTAAATATTTTCTCCAGGGTATACTTTGTATATTTATCTTATAACAAAACATTTTGAATATGAGAACAAAAAAAGAAATAAGCAAATAAACCCTTGTAGTTAGAAATAATTAAAAAATTATTGAAAAAGTAAATGCATGATTCTTTTTGAATTGACCTTTTTATAATGCAATAACTTTGTTTCTGTTAGTTCCTTTGCTCTGAAGATCAACTTGGTTGCTATTGATTCAAACATTCAATTGTAAATAAAATTCTTAACTGGCCTAAGTAACCCCTCCCAAGATATCACCACATTCAATTTTGTTTTGTTTGCCTAGTGTTTTCGTGGTATGAACTTTAACATAGCTATGACATTAGAGAGTTTTTAAAAAAATTTTTATAGATAGTATGCAGTTGATTCATTTAAAAAAAATTCTCCTGGGGCCTTTAGAAATGGCTCGGCAGTTAAGAGTACTTGCTGCTCTTGCAGAGAACCTGGGTTCAATTCCAATCACCCATATTGATGGTTCACTGTCATCTGGAACTCCAGATCCAGGGAAGCTGATGCATGTATATGTATGTGCAGGCAAAAACACACATAAAATAAACTTTAAAAAATCCCATTCTGACAATTTTTCACTTCGTGATATTTTATATAATAATGTATGCTAGAATTAAGGTCTATGACTTAATTGTTTTCTCTTATTGACCTTTGTTTCTATGTGTTGGTTTATCATCTTGGACAGCCAGTGTTTTACAAGCTCAAGGGGAGTATAGGAACATACCATTAGTATGTTTTTTCCTTAATTTCCCACTTTACAATGCAGTTATCTGGTTTTTTGTTTGTTTGTTTTTGTACACTTACACATAGAAAACCCCATCAGAGAAAATTATAGCCTTTGCTTTTAACCCTCAAGCACTTTAGATGTTTTTAAATTATGTTTATTTTGGGAGGAGACACCTGTGTCACAGCACATCAGAGGACACCTTGCTGGAACCAGTTGTCTCCCTCCACCATGTGAGGTCCAGGGATTGAACTCAGGGTTGTCAGGCTTGGCAGCAAGCACCCTTCCCTGCTGAGTGAGTTTACCAAACGGTGGGGAAACCTCAGCGAGGAAGGGCTGAGAATTGTTTTACCTAGCCAGCTCCCGGTCTGTCACTCCTCCTTCCTCCTCTTGTCGTTGTACCCTTCTGGCATCATTCCTGAAGAAATGGTCTTTCAGCAGCTGTTCCAGAGCAAGTCCCCCGCAGCTGCTCTCTTGTCTCTTTCTACCTCAGGGTATCCTTACTGCATGCTCATCTAGCCTGGCTGTCGTCACTGCACATAGGATTCTGGGATAGCATTTGCTTATCATGTTAAAAATGTTGTTTCACTTCTTTTTGGTGTCTGGTTGTTGGTGAGAAACACACAGCCATCAAGCTAGTGTGCATGCACACACACATGCACATGAACACACGGGCTCACGAGCGCACAGGCATACACACACACACACACACACACACACACACAGTTAAAGTAAACTTTTTTTTCTAAGTATCAGTTTCCTTCAAAATACTGCTGCAGGTCCAACCCACCCATGTCAATATGTGGTTTCGATTATTTTTCCTTTCAAGTAGTTTCTAACTATTTTTAGACTTGTGGATTTTAAGAGACAGGTGTGTTTGTTTTCAAGACATTTGGAGAATTTTCCATATAACTTTTCATTGTGGCTCTTAATTTAATACTGTTGTGGCTATATCAGACTCTATTATTTCGGTCTTTTAAAATGTACTAAGATTCTTTTATTGTCAAGCATATGGTTTACATTAATGAATAGTCCAGCTATATTTGAAAAGAATGTGTACTTTTCATTTTGGAGTGGGGGATTCAATAGCGGCAGTCAGGTCCATTTGGCTTCCTTTGTGCTATTCACAATTCCCTCCCTGACTCTGTGACTCCAGTCCATCCAGTTCAGGAGGAAGATGCAGACACACGAGCAGAAGCTGTGTTCACCTACTTCTTCCTTTCCCTTGACAACTTTTACTTATAGTTTGAAACCCTTAGTTGCATGAATATATATTTAGAAATGTTACGTTTTTTTAAAAAATTGTTTGTTTGGCAGTACTGGGAATTAAACTCAGGGCCTCATGCATGCTAGGCAAGTGCTCTGCCCTGAGTTACAGCACAAGACTAACATGCTTTTGTTTAAGTGACATACTCTTTTATCGTGAAGAAATATTCCCCATACCTGTGCTGTCCTCCTGTGTCCTCGGGTTACTTTTTCGGGTGTTTGGAGAGTCGCTTGAGCTTTCCTGTGGCCCCTCAGTCCGATCCGCCTTTGCACTCCATGAGCTTTCTGGAGAGCAGCATCCAGTTTGGTCTTGCTTTTTCATCCAGTCGGGGACTGGTAATGATATTAGACTTCATTGTTATGCAACCAAAGACTGTGAATTTAGGAGCTGTTAACTCTCAATCCTTCGCCAGAAGTTTGACCTGCTGTAGCCTGGCTCACTGCGGGTCCAACAAAGGGGATGTTCCCATCGGAAGGAAGGTTCTACTGCCAAGTTCGTTCTGGTTGCTGTCAGAATTCAGGTTTCTTCATTTGACCATTGACTGCTAGTGACTTCCCTCACCTCAAGAAGACAGTATGCATGAATCTTCTTGTGGCCCTTCCACAACATAGTAGCAGCAGAATCTCCCTCTCAACCAACCCCTCTCAACCTTTGAACCTCTTTGACTTCTACCACCAAAGGGAGAAAATGCTTCTGTTGCTCCTGCCACCTGAGTGACATACTCACTTTAAGATCAATTGAGTGGTAGTACTGATGACAAACACGAAGTCCCTAGGGGGCAAAAGTCATGGGACCATCATTCCTATTTTAAATGTCTTTTTATTTTGAGATAATTTAGGATATTTATGCATGTGTGAAGTGTGTGTGTGTGTGTGTACACATGTGCGTGTATGGGTACAGTGGCTAAGTATTGATGTCTTCCTCTATTGAGCTCCATCTTACTACTTGAGATGATCTCTTTGCTGAACCTAAACCCCATCGATTTGGCTAGGCTGACTGACCAGCTAGTGAGCTTTAGGGAGCCTCTTGTCTCTGTCCCCTCAGAACTGGGGTTGCCAGCTTTTATTTGGGTGGTGGGGATCTGAACTCAGGTCCCCATGTTTCTCAGCAGGCTTTGACCTACTGAATCACCCCTGGGGCCCCTAATTCATAGTTATTTAGGGAAAGCTGCAAGCCTTCATTTCTGCACGCCCGTGGTCTCACTTTTCCTTTGTTCTCTGTGTGTGCATGTGCATGTATGTTTCTGTTTGTATGCATGGTGTTATATGAAGGTTCAAACGCAGACTCAGGTGTCAGTCCTCTCTCTGCTTCTTCTTTGAGACGGGGTCTCTTGTCTGCATCTGGGTACACCAGGATAATTGGCCCATGATACTCCCATCTCTGCCTTCGGTCTTGTTGTGGGAACCCTGGGATGACAGCAGATGCTACCAAGTCCGGCTTTTTATGGCTGCTGTGGATTATTATTTTAGCCATGTAAGAATGTGTTACATTTTTTCCTGGGGCTTTTGTTAATGATGGAAAGATGTGTTGCAATTGTTTGATTAAATAAAATTAACCTGGGGTCAGAGGTTGCATCAGTAACTAGCTGACAGGAAGTGGTAGAGAGGAATTAAGTGTATCGAGGGTTCTTTAGTAGGGGTTGAGGAGAAGGACACCCTGTTTTTCAGGAGACACAAGCAAGGAGAAAAGTTTAACTACTTGCTCTTCAGCCTCTCCGAGTGAGCAAAAGTTCACCTTTGACTCCTGAGTTCTATAGACAGAAATCTAGATCAAGTTTCCTTTAGTGGCTGTGAGAACGCTGGTGCCTGAAGGAACAGAATTCCCGCCTGGCTGCAGCCAGTGCGGAGGAAATGCTGCTGGTAGCTGCAGAGTTGCAATAGCCGAGTAGGACAGCAGCTGCTGAAGTGGAGGAAAACAATGTTTTGCGGATCAGAACATAGGTCCTGTGTTTGTGTGGCAAGCACTTTACACTGGGATATCTCCCAGCCCTGTTTTTGTTTGCTCTCAGCTTTGGGAATTGAACCAAGGATGATTTTGTTTTGTTTTTGAGGCAGCACCTTATTAAGCAGCCCACACTGGCCTGGAACTCAGGCTCCTCGAGTTTCAGCCGCTCAGCTTCTGGGATCACAGGCATGTCTCACCTCACTTTCTTTAATACTAACAATTTACAGAACCATAGTATAGTGATCAACGCCAGCACATTTGTACTGAGGGAACAATACAGTCAGTGACAGTGTTCTTTCTCACCAACATCATTTTCATAATCTAAGAGCCAGCTGAGGTTTGCACACTGCTTTAGTTGTCACAGTTCCTTGTTATCCTCTGATTGGTGACAGTGCCTCTGGTGGGTTTTTTTTTTTTTTGGTTTTTTTTTTTTTTTTGTCTCTTCTGTCATGATACTTTGAAGAATACTGACCACATATTTTATAAAACTTTTCCTGATGCTGCCTCATGATTAGGTTAAAGTTAATTTTAGCAAGAACAACACAGAAGTGTTGATGTGCCCCTTCTCCCATGGAGTCCATAGCCTTGTGTCTTATTATTGGTGATATTAATCCAAAGATCCCAGTTAGTGTAGTATTTCTCAAGTTTCTCAACTTTGAAATTATTAGTATAACCTTTATAGCAGACAGATATTTTGTAGGCATATTTTCAAATGTACCATTTTCATTATACTTTCACCTCTTAATTTAGCATTTATTGATGGTTTCTGCCTGCAGCACTCTGTGATTTTCCACTTTCATTATTTTCTATCACTTCTTTCTGCATTTTTATCTTTTTTTTTCTTTACTTACACTATTTTCACCAGTATTACATTAGGAACTTTATTCTGTGACCTTTATGGGTTTCTATGAGTTCAAAGCTAGCCTGGTCTACATAGTGAATCCCAGTCCAGCCAAGGCTACATAATGAGACCCTGTCTCAAAAAAAGAAGAGGAGATTATTTTATTTTATGTGTATGAGTGCTTTGCCTGCATGTTTGTCTATGCACCACGTGCTTGCAGTGCCTGCAGAGACCAGAAGAGGGCATTGCATTTCCTGGACTGGAAGTTAGGGATGATCGTGGGCCTCTGTGAGATGCTGGAACTGAACCCAGGTCCTTTGCAAGAGCAGCAAGTGCTCTTAACCTCTGAGCCATCTCTCTAGTCCCTTTTATTTTGTTTTATTTATTTATTTATTTTTCCAAGACAGGGTTTCTCTGTATTGTTTTGGAGACTGTCTTGGAACTCACTCTGTAAGACCAGGCTGGCCTGGAACTCACAGAGATCTGCCTGCCTCTGCCTCCCGAGTGCTAAAATTAAAGGCATGCCCCACCAATGCCTGGCTTATTTTTATTTTTAAAGGAGCTATTTATTTTTGTTTTGTGTGTGTCTGTTATATATGTATGCCATATGTGTGCAAGTATTTACAGAGTCCAGAAGAAGGCACTGGGGCCCTGGAGCTTGTGAGTCACCTGATGTGGGTGCCAGGAACCAAACCAAAGTGCCCCTAACTGCTGAGACACCTCTGCAGCCTAAAATGAGATTTAAAATGAGAAATTGTTTGTCATTACTTGAAATATTGCATTTATTTGTCTTCTCTAAATCCATTTCCCTATATATATAACTGTTTTACCTATTCTCATTAAAAAATGACTATAAAGGGACATTTTCTCGAACCCAGAGGTGTTTGGGGGCTGCAAAAAACAGAGGAATTAACACTGCTATGAAAGTGAAGACCCTGAAAACTTTTTTCTGGGGTACTAATTTGCAAGTTCATTAGCCACAGGACATGAGCTCTAGTTAAGAGAGAAAGGGGCCATGCAAAACGCACAAGATTAAGGAGAAACATCTGTATTAAAGAGCATTTGACTTTAATTGTGTGGAAGATAATTGGCCCAGTTGATTTCAGGAAGCTTTAGAAACAAAGAGCTCCAGAGGAAACAGAGAATGACTGGAGACCTGTAGGACAGGACCGTGGGCTTCCAGCCTAAATTATCCTAAGGCAGACTCTGCAAACTAAGAAAACACTTCAAGTAACATCTTCCAAATCTGCCTTCCAGCTTTATTAAAGAAGCTATAAATATACCAGATTGTTCAGAACAGTCTCCAATAAAACTTTAATTATTTTCTTCATAAACAGACTTTACATGTCAACAGTTTTGGATATTTTAATATTATCTCACAGCTTTATATTGTTTTCTCATAAAATTCCATAGTTTTCTGAAATCCTTCCTTCCTCTCTCCCTCCCTCTCTTCCTTTCTTTTTTCCCTATCCTGGCTATTTAACCCTGGGCCTTGTGCATGCTAGGCAAGCACTCTCCACCTAGCTCTTGGCTTTTTGTCCATGTCTTAGTCAGGGTTTCTATTGCTGTGATAAAACACCACAACCAGTGCAACCTGGGAGAAAAAGGTTTATTTGGTTTACACATCTTGAGTCACAGCAGGAAAACCTGGAGGCAGGAGCTGATGCAGAAGCTATGGAGCGGTGCTGCTTACAGGGTTGTTCTTCATGATGCACTCAGCCTACTTTCTTTTTATTTATTTATTTTTATTATGTCTACAGTGTTCTGCCTGTATATATGTTTGCATGCCATAAGAGGGCACCAGATTTCATAGATGGTTGCGAACCACCATGTGCTTTTAACCTCTGAGCCATCTCTCCAGTCCCAGCCTGCTTTCTTATAGAACCCCGAACCATCTGCCAAAGGATAGCACCACCCACAATTGGCCTGAGCCACCTCCCACATCAATTACTAATTTGCATATAGTCTGATTTTTTAAATTTATTTACTTATTATGTATACAGTGTTCTGTCTGCATGCCATAAAAGGGCACCAGATGGTTGTGAGCCACCCCATGGTTGCTGGGAATTGAACTTAGGACCTCTGGAAGAGCAGTCAGTGTTCTTAACCTCTGAGCCATTTCTCCAGCCCCACAGACATTTTCTCAGGTGAGGTTCCTTCCTCTCAGATGACTCTAGCTTATGTCAAGTTATCATAAAATGAGCCAGCACAGTTTTCTTGTGTAGTTTAGGCTGGCCTTGAACTCCTGATCTTTCCACATGCTGGAGTTACAGGTGAACCACCCCACCAGCAATTTTCACTTTCTTGATCATCTGCTGCTATTGTGAAGACCTTGTGAAATGTAAGTTCTTGTGTCAATGTCTCAACTCTTTCTAGGAAAGCAACCACCACAACATGCAAGTAATTTGTAAATAATACTTTATTTACAGATCAGGAGGCGGGCTAGATTTGACCTGCTAGCTGATGTAGTTTGCTGACACCTGGCCTATCTGATCACACCAGTGTCTCAAGCTGGCATCTAAGTAGGGCACTTCATCTTCAGTCCGTTCTAGTCATCTGTGGTTCCCTGACCGTAGGACTAGGTCCACAAGGATGAAAGGTTAGAATCCA